TAGCGGGCGGTGATGTATGACGCCTTGCGGTAGCGGGCGGTGATGTACACAGCGTTGCGGTAGCGGGCGGTGATGTATGACGCCTTGCGGTAGCGGGCGGTGATGTATGACGCCTTGCGGTAGCGGGCGGTGATGTACACAGCGTTGCGGTAGCGGGCGGTGATGTATGACGCCTTGCGGTAGCGGGCGGTGATGTATGACGCCTTGCGGTAGCGGGCGGTGATGTACACAGCGTTGCGGTAGCGGGCGGTGATGTATGACGCCTTGCGGTAGCGGGCGGTGATGTATAAACTGAGGGCAGGCCTCCTCCTGGATGATGTTAGTCAGGAATTTGGGTTAGTAACGATGAGTATGAAACATTTACAGAGAATGGAAAAGATGATGTTTTTAGTCAGTGATCTCACACCCACTTTAACTGTGATCATGCCCAGGGCCCCGGCTACACACGGAAAACAATTCAACTTTCCACTTGAGCCTGTTACACAGTAACAGGAGGCCGTTCGGCCCCCTCCCCGAGCCTGTTACACAGGAACAGGAGGCCATTCAGGCCCATTCCCAGAGCCTGTTACACAGGAACAGGAGGACATTCAGCTCCCTCCCTGAGCCTGTTACCCAGGAACAGGAGGACATTCAGCCCCCCTCCCTGAGCCTGTTACCCAGGAACAGGAGGCCATTTGGCCCCCTCCCCGAGCCTGTTACGCAGGAACAGGAGGCCATTCAGGCCCATTTCCAGAGCCTGTTACCCAGGAACAGGAGACCATTCAGCCCCCTCCCCAAGCCTGTTACCCAGGAACAGGACGCCATTCGGCCCATTCCCCGAGCCTGTTACACAGGAACAGCAGGAGGCCATTCGGCCCATTCCCCGAACTGGTTACCCAGGAACAGGAGGTCATTCGGCCCATTCCTCGAGCCTGTTACACAGGAACAGGAAGCCATTTGACCCATTCCCCGAGCCTGTTACACAGGAACAGGAGGCCATTCAGACCTACCCCCGAGCCTGTCACACAGGAACAGGAGGCCACTCGGCCCCCACATTGAGCCTTTTATGCAGGACCAGGTGTCCATTCAGGCCCCATCCTGATGCTCCTAGAACTGAGCCCCATCCCTCCAGATTATGTCAGTGGACCAGGATAATGGGCAGGGCCTGCTGCTTCTGGGCATCACTTACAGCTGCATTACATTTCCAGCTCAGGATGGCGAGTGGGTCAGAGGGGAACTGGTGTTCCCATGTATCTGCTGCCCCTTGGCCTTCTGGACGGAAGTGGCCGTGGGTTTGGAAGGTGCTGCCTGAGGATCTTTGGTGAATCTCTGCAGCGCATCTTGTAGATGGTACACACTGCTACTACTGAGCGTCGGTGGGGGAGGGAGTGGGATGTTTGTGGATGTGGTACCAATCGAGCCGGGGCTGCTTTGTCCTGGATGGTGTCGAGCTTCTTGAGTGTTGTTGGGGCTGCCCCCATCCAGGGCAAGTGGGGAGTATTCCATCCCACTCCTGACTTCTGCCTTGTCGATGGTGGGACAGGCTTCGGGGGGGAGTCAGGGGGTGGGTTACTCACAGCAGGATTTCCTGCTCTTGTAGCCACTGTGTTTATGTGGTGAGTCCAGTTGAGTTTCTGGTCAATGATAACCCCCAGGATGTTGATAGTGGGGGATTCAGCGATGGTAACACGAGTGAATATCAAGGGACAATGGTTAGATTCTCTATCACTGAAACTAGTTATGGTGGGTGCACATTTTATTTCAAACATGAAGGTCTTGCTGCGAAAGTATTTGTCCTGTGAACGAGATGATCCATTTTGAGAACAAAATGTGTGTGTGTGTGTGTGTGAGAGAGACCAGTATTTTTAATAGACATTAATATCCTGGATATTTACAATGTACAAAATTCTGGAAGTGATTACAATATAAATACAATGGACACATCAATCAACAAAGCAACGATTTATCCAGTGGCCTCTTCTTAACATCAAAACGAGAAGATAGGAGCAGGGCAGGCCCCCGAATGGCCTCCTCCCGTGGTCAGGGTCTGTAACTGTCTGAGTGTTGGAGGGGAGGCGGATTCATTCGAGCGCCAGGGTCTGGAAAGTACTTTCCGAGAGTGTGGGGAGGGCAGCTTCACTCAAGTCTTTCAATGGAGAACTGGAGTTTGTCGAAAAGGAAGGATGTGTAGGGATGGGGTTGGACGTTGTCAGGGGTGGGGGATGCACTGAGGTTAATTTTTCAGTTGGAGACCCAGCGCAGACACGAGTCAAGTCAGTACTCCAACAAAAGCTGTACAACATAGATCAAATGTATTGACCATGGCTTACGTTCAGTCTCTTTTCGATATGCAATCTTCCATTCGTTTCCTCTTCGCAACAAAATGATCTGAGTCGGCAGGAGCTAGCAATAAATACAAACCGCGTTCCTATAAATAACGAGAGGTATGTACAGGGTAAACAGATCGAAACACGCTGCAGGTCAATTGTGGCTGATGAGGAGCAGGCATAAGCTCAGGACGAGAAAGCAGAGCGCTCCCATCTCCGTTCTCGCAATTCCATTGCACAGATTTTCATCGCAACACTCAAAGTTTTTCTCAAGTTCCACGCCAAACATTGCCTGTGTGGAGTTCAGATGACAAGTCGATTCGGAGAGACATCCTTGAAAGTCAATTGTTAAATTGCGACCACCTAGAGGAGGGACAAACAGATTGAGATGGTGTTCAACAGTTCCTCAAACTTCCCTCCCCATCGTCTCGTCCTCACAAGATGATGGGAAAGAACGACAACTCATAGGATGATGGGAAAGAACATACAAGATTGCGAATAAAAACAAAACAACAGGCAACAGGTCAAAACGTTTCAGCTCACACTCATCAGGACACGAACACAAGAAAATCAATTTTACAAAAGGACCAACAATTTCTACAACATGGAAAGGAGGAGCTGGTTGGTTGGGCAATTGATTATTCTGCAAGGTATATTTACATACATGTAGGGTGCCCTGTTTTATTTGGGGGAAAGGAATATCTCCCTTATGCTTGGACCC